GCCTATGCTGGCAAACTGGCTAATTTACCGGATCGGAGTATACAGGGTGTCAAAAAATAGTATATCTTACTTCGGTGGATGATTCTGGGCCCTAAAATGATTCCCGAAGAAGTTACTTGCCTTGAAAGGTTAAATAAAATTAAAAGTAATAAACTGTTTTTATTGAAATTTGGTACTCTTACATACATTTTAATAGCAAAGTAAAAAAAACTTTCCATTTGAGTAGAGATTAATAACTGCTGGTAGTACTTCTTTTATCCTTATAGATACAGTAATTTCAAAAAGTAAAATTTAAAGCTATGACTTTTTATGTAAAAATGTTCTCTTCGTTTAGTTCGAGACAGTAAACGGTTTTCAAGATATTTGCGTTTAAAGTTTCCGATGCTTCGATTTTAGCATTAGCGAACTCAGGCGATTAATTCATTTAAAATTTCTTTACATTCTATCATTTCACTAATACTAAAATTGATGCATCGTAATCTTTAAACGCAAATATCTTGAAAACCATTTACCTTTTCGCACTAAACGAAAAGCACCTGTTTTGCGTAAAAAAGTTTTATCTTTTTATATCATTTGTTGAAATTACTGTATATAAGGATAAAGAAGTACGACCAGTCGTACTCTCTACCCTAATGAAAGTAGCTTCAGAGCTGTTACGGAATTTTTTACAATCGCCATTCGCTTTGGCATTAAAATGAATGTAAGAGTATCAAATTTCAGGAAAAACGGTTTACCAATGTTCTTAAAAATAAACAAAATATAGGTACTTATTATTTTTATTTAGTACTGTAGAATCACACACCAAAGCTAGATACATTATTTTTTGACACCTTGTATTTGAAGGAGCTAATTCATTTAATAATGAATTAAATTTAACGTTTAGTTAATCCATTTATATTACAATCGATTCGGTTACCGGCACCGGCACCGATTTTGCCAGTTTATGTGAAAGCGCTCTAAGAATTAACTTTAACGCCGAATATGAAATTCGCGGAATTTTTGTGTGTTAATTTTAAGTCTATGAATGGAAATAATGATCCAATTCAGTGATTTTCTTAAAAAAAGACATTATTTATGAAAGTTCACGTGTTCTCACAATGAGAAACGCACATATGTGCACTAATTAAGAAACCGCCAGCCTCACTGAATTGACTAAAAAATGTAAAGGAATTGAATTAGAAAATAATGGTATTGATATTATTGTATTTTTAGTTGTATTTTTTGAATGGAAATTTTATACCAAAACTATAGTTTCCAAAAATAGTACTAGGTACATTTAAAAAAATACAAATTCAGTATAAAAATAAATATTACCCATTCTGTATAGTAACTAAAATAACTTTAAAATATGCATTAACGATAGCTCGCATATCTTGAAATAACGTATTAATACTAAATATGAAACCTGATATAAATTATTTTCGATACAATGTGTCAACCTGTAAGATGTCTATTTTTATGGACACAATTATATATAATACAAGCTATATATATAATAAAGCTACATTTATTTTACAGTGCTTGAGCTAGTTTATATTTACTTCATATAATAATTATAGATTTAGATTTTATAAGTAAGATAATCAGTCGAAGAAGAAACGACCATAGCGTTTATACAGCTTAATATCTAAAAATGGTTCAGTAGCAAACTTTTTACATACACAATGATATTCATTATTTTACAAGTACACCCAACGTTAGATTCACAACCAGAAGTACATATATATGTTTCTACTTCCACATTCTAAAGGTTATTTTGATTGATAATACAGGGGAAAATTAAATGATATAGGACTTAAATAATTATTTTTCTACTGAACCACGTATGAAAAACTTTCGGTAGTATAGATGAGCAGTATGTAATGGGTTGCCCATCTTTCAAATAGACAGAACAAATTTCTTTCAGGATAAATTATATACAAAGAGATAATAATGAATAAAATGCATTAAAGGCATCAAACAAATATTGATGAGACATTATATTTAATTTAATAATTAATACCAATTTTAGTTTAAATATGATTATAATTAAATATGAGATGTAGGACAGTTTCAAAGGAGTTATAGTTTTAAATATAAAAATTTAATGTTAAATAAAAAATAATCAAATTTTTAATACTATACCCAGTGTATCTATTTCTATTCCAATGATTCTCCTATACTAATGATGTTCAGCAAGGGTCAATAAAAAAATCAATATCGATAGAAAACACAACTGATGACAGGAAAATGATACATAAAAAAGTCCAATATCATCGTTGTTGACAAAGATATGACAATTTTTTTCTTTCTTCACAAGTCTTACATGGTTTATAAAAAGACATATCCTAAAAATATTTATAGCTACTTTAAAATTGCAAGTACATTTATCAACAAAGCAATTTAAAAATTGGAGTCAAGCATAAAATTTTTGTAATTGTAGTTACTAAATTCCTGGAGATAAATAATTTTTAATTATAAATTAAAAAAAAGTTTCCCGCGGTTGTAACAAAAAATGGCATGGTTGTTGACATATTTGCATTTTTATTTGTCATTTTTCTGCTGTTAAAACCCAAGACAGTAAGTGTGACACTTGTTAACACAACTTCTGAAATAAAATACACCATAGAGATATATTGGAATAGGGTTATAGAGACACCTGGTATATATATATGCTACAATGTAGATAAATTGATTTTGACAATTGATTATTAATGATTTAGAAAATTGCTAACTTTTAGATATATTTTTCAAGGAAGAATAATATGCAGAGTAATAATATAAGTATTTTCGAGGAATTGATATATTAATGTTATTTTGAATAAGTTGTAAATATAATTGTCATTTATAATCTTTAGATGCGTTAAATTTTTTATGTTTGTTTATTCCTACTTAACTACTGATCTACATAATATAAACTATTGAATGAAATTGAAGAAAATCATATTGAAGTATTTTCCACTCCAATTTAATGACAGTTTTTGAATTTTGATAATTTACATGTATTAGTTTAACTCCTCTCCAAAAATATTTTTTATCGAAACCAATAAATTTCACGTTTTTAGCTGTTTCTCCTAATCAAAATTCAAAAACTTTCGGAAAATGTTACCATCCATTTATGCCTAATTTATTCTTACCGAATTTTAAATATTATTATATTAACTACATACCTAAAATGATTCTAACTTGTTGAATCTTAGAGAATTATTATTATATTCAAAACTTTATTATACACTCACCGGCACGAAAAACGGGCAACTTAAAATTTTCATGTATTTTAAAGTTTTATATATTGTGTTCGAGCAGACCGATTTTGATGATTTTTAAGCAACTTGTAGCTAAATTATTTTACTTTTTAATACATTTTTCTAAATTAAAAATGAAAGTTGCCATCTGTAAGTTAAACGAGGGAAAACAAAATGTTTGGTGAAAGTTTGAAACGCCCTGTAGAGTAACAAAGTAAAAGATTTAAAAATCACTTTATCATCTAGATGTATCTTTCCTCAATAGTTTGTTTTTTGATTCATCCCAATAGCTTTATTTTGATAAGAAGACACTAACTTTTTTTATATTTTTACATTAAAACCATGCCTCTGCTTTTGATCCTAGTCAACAAACCTATAAAATAGTGTTTATGATTTATGTAATATCACTGTCTTTGAAAAATCATATTATTATTCTCTGTTGGGCAGTTACTCTAGCAGATATGGTTTGAAGTCCAAAAGTTAATCTCTACCATGACCAATTAAAGCAAAAATAGCCGATGCAAGTTCTGAAGCATCGGCTATTGTTGCTTTCAACTTCATCTCTACTAGAGTAAACGTTAATAAACAATAATAATATGACTCTTCAATAATAGTAATATTACATAAACAATATAAGTGTGTTGATGACAACCCAAAATCAATGCTAAAATTGCTGTAAATCGCTACTGTCAAAAGCGAATATCTCTAATAAAAATAAAGCTATTGAGATGAATCAAGAACAAACTATCGAGAAAAGACGTACCGAGATGATAAAATGATTTTAAAATTCCTTGTTTTGTTAACATATTCCACAGGGGACACTTTTTGAGCCGCACCTCAGATATGCCCTTCCATTCTGGGGTACGTGTTGTGAAACTCAATTTGACGCATTTTCAAGCTCCAGAAGAGAGCTCTCAGATATTCACTGGGACTAAACAGCAGAACTCATTGCCAGGACTTAAAAAAAAAATAAATATTAACTCGTCGTTTCTTATTTATATTTGAATCCGTTTGCCTAATACGTAAGCATGTATCAGCTTCTCAAGAAAGGCCATCTCACACTTATCCACTCAGGAACGCGGATCAAGATCTTTATCTCCTACCCCACGCTCAAAGTTGGTTAAAAGTTCAATATTATACAATTCAATCACCTGCCATTTGAAATCAAATTCATAACATCATTTTCTTCATTTGGCAAAGCATTGAAATCTTATTTACTAGACAAGACTTTCTACGCCTTAGATGACTAAATTTTGATAATCGAATTTGATCTTGTAAACACTGGTCTAATGTTTGCTATTACTCTATTTACCAATGACATAGAGGTAACTTTATCTAGAGGTCATTGATATTTGGTATAAAGTTACTAAATATTTTTGAATCTTATTTTTATTTCTTTGTTCTTTGACATTGTAAACATTTATAAATGTTTATTTTAAACAAAAAGATTGACAATGTTATTTGTATAATGTTTTGTATTCTCTTTTGTTTGTTCGCTTGATTACTTTGTTTGTTTACTTTACCTTTGTCTACAAATTGTAAAAGTTTTTGACAATAAAGGCATTTATTTAGGGTGTTTGAAACCTTTGTGTCATCAAAATATCAACATTTGGTTTTACCTCGTACAGTTGACAGATGGAAACTTTCAATTTTAATTTAGAAAGGGATACTAAAAAGTCAAATAATTTAGCTACAAATTGCTTAAAAAAATCATCAAAATCGGCCCACCAAAACAAAATATTATATTAAATTTTAAAATACATTAATATTTTGAGGTGTCCGGTCTTCCTGCCGGTGAGTGTATTTATTTTTAAAGAAAAATATTAAACTACAGTTCAGAGACAGAACTCAAACTAGTGTAATTTTGATTATTGTAAAAAAGGTATGCTTTTTATAATAATTGCATATATGAAAAATTATATATTATACAATATTTTTACTCTGGACAAATACAGACAACTATTGTACAAAAATACGTTTGACATTTAGACAGTTGCTTTTGTTTGTGCGCCATCAAGTTTCGAAAACGTACTCGAAAAAGTCACACTTTAAAGATTTTACGCCTATTAGTCCATTATAGATTGTGTATAAACTACTGTCAGGGGTAATATGGTCTCGCTTATTTTCAGAATACAACTTATCCTAAGCTCTAGGTACTCTAAGTTAAATTGTCCATCTCCAGAACCTTGCAAATCGCCGGCTATCATTTCAAGGTCGGCGGTAGCTTGACCTTCATCGGGGGTACAGGGGAGCTGGAGGCGCTCCGAGATACTCGTGGTTGTTCTGGAACCTGAAACAGTAATGCAATAGTATATTAAACAACGAGTTTCGAAAACGACGTTTTGCACACGAGTTCGACAGTTTGTTGGCTCGAGCCGCAGGCAAGAGCCACAAGTCGAACGAGCGTACAAAGAAGTTTTCGAACGAGTTTTTACGCTATTTTTTCTACGACTACAAATTAGCAGCAGACTCGCTCAGTTTTTGCCTGTTTTGTGAAATAATTTGCGATGTAATGATGACACTTTTCTGACGACTGCGTTGCGTTTGCCGTTTCAGCTAAACATTGGAGGTTAAAAATGTTAAAATTGGCACATGTCGTGTGCAAAATGACACATGTCGTGCGCTAAATCCTTAGCACACAACAGTTTGCAAAACGCCAATTTCAGATCGGGGTTTCCGTGTGTCAAACTGCATTTTCTAGGCTAGTCGTAGAAATAATATTATAATGAATGAACCGATAACCTCTAAACTAAAACAAAGAGATTCTTCTAATTAGTGGTGGCCAAAACCGTTATTTATACATGGTGTTTCAAAAAGCATGTGATATCTCTCGTTTGGGGATTCCTCACGTAAAAATAAGACTTATTTTTCATATTAACATAGGTCCGATTCTGCTTTGTTTCGTAGCTACAGGGTGTTAAAGTCTTAATAATCTTTCGATTTATTATAATTTTCTTACAAGTACTTTTAGTAATTTGAATGAAATTTTGGAGGTAACAGTTACTATAAGAGTTACATATTTTAATGCTAAAAAAGTGTCAATAAATTCATCAGGGACGTGCATATGGGTTACCACTGGAATATTTTTCAAAAAAAACGTGCGCCACTGACTTTTTTCTTTTGATATCAAAATTGTGTACGCCGTTTTTTTTGTCTAATTCGGCCTCCTTGATGAGATTAACGCATTTTTATTAATTACAATTAATAATATTAAAATAAAAATAAAATTAATAAATTATATATTTTAATAATATTAATTACTATTAGTTATTATTACTATTAATCCAACATAGAGTAATTTCAAATAAACAAATAATGGTATTTAAGATAATTAGAAAAAACCTAATTTTAAAAAGTTTTAACATACTGTAACTCTAAAACCATGCATTTCCATATCCATATTTATAGTAACTTTTTTTCATATTTTTTGATGAGGATTCAATGAGTACTTATTTAAAACTTTCACAAGTTAATGATATTAAATTTTTTAAATGTTGCTATTAGACTCGGAACAAGGCAAATTAATAAAATTGCGTTTATCTCATCAAGGAGGCCGAAATCGACAAAATATCAAGAGACAACGTAATTGGCATTAAACTGCTTATACTATTTTGCTAACAATAGAAAAAAAGTCAGTGGCGTACATGCTTTTTTTTAGAAACATATTCCAGTGATAACCCATATGCACGTCTCTGGTAAATATGTCGACACTTTTTTAGCTTTAAAATATGTCGCATTTATAGTTACTTCTACCATTTAAAATTTCATTCGAAACGCTAAAAATACTTGGAAGAAAATTATAATAAATCAAAAAAATATTAAGAGTTTCACACCCTGTAGCTACGTAACAAAGCAGAACCTATGACAAAAACCACCTATGTTGATATTAAAAATAAATCTTGTTTTTACGTGAAGAATCTCCCCACAATAGATGGCACATGTTTGAAACACCTTGTATATAACAGCTTAAAATAACAGGTTTCTGTAATTTTTACTTTAATTATATATTTTATATTTACCATGCATTACTGATGCCAAAAAATACCCAGAAATCCGACAAAATAAAATAACTTTCAAACTATTGAAATAAATTCAGACTGTCGATATGTTTTAGAAAACGCAAAATACCCTTTAGTTATATTTTTTAGAAATATATGTATTAAAAATTAAATATGTAATTAAATTCTAACATCATCGTACACCGTGATCGACCGACACTATTATGCTAGCAACAGGTTAAAACATAATAAATCTAAAATAACTGCTTATTTTCTATACGTTATTCTCCAACCTGTTGCGAGCCCAACATCGACAATCGACCGATGCACCAGCGTTGCTTTCCCACTCCGGTTATCTCGACCGCCACACGTTATGCCGGCAACTGGTTAAAAAAACTGCTTATTTTATATACGTTATTTTTAAGGTGCCTAACTAAACATGGCCATCGAGCGCTACGTTTGCCGTAGCGCATTTCCCACTTCGGTGTATCTTGACAGTTGGCGCGCCGCCGCACAGTGATTCAGAAGTTCCCAATAGTGGCAGAAAATCAAAATATCAGAAGTATTTTTTTTAATTATAATTTTACTCGTATAGTTCCCAATAGTCCATATTTTCAGAATCGTGAAGATTTTTGAATAAAAACGGGCCCATTATTAATCCCTGATAAGAAATGTTCGAGCTTATAAGATTATTAGCTGAAGCTGAAATATTTTGATTAAATAAAATTAGTGCGTTTAACGTTGGTGATAAATTAGCTAAAAACTGTTGGTACTCTGAGAAAGTACAATGTTTTCAACTGTTTTTCCTCATGGTAATTCTAGTTTTAACTTCTCTGGTACCATAAAAAAATCAATAAAGACCTTGATGTAATTAAGAACTGCTTAATCTAAAATCACATTTTATGTAAGCTAATACAAAATGCTCCAAATTGATCCAAAAAAATATGATGTAGGTTACAATTATTAGCCTTTTTTCTTCATAACTACGAAGTTTCATGACCAACATTAACCCACAAATACCCTTTAGGTGGCCTAACTCTCCCGAAAACCATGATTTAGTTTCCAAAAATAAATTACGTATGACAGTATATTACTGGGTGTTTCTTAGGTGCTGTAAAATATTGTTGTTGGTTATTTTTAATTAGTTTTAGAAAGGAAACTAATAGATTTTCTCGTATTCAATTTAATTTTCGATATACAACGTGTCCAAATTTACAAATAATTTTTAATGTGTAATTTTAACTACCTTTTCCCAGTTAAGCCTAAGTTTTTATTCGTTTTGTGCTTATATGACATTAAATTTAATATTATTAGAAATCTCATTCATTTTGAATAATTATTGTTAATATAAACTACAAAGACGTGTTAATGTGTCTATGATGCGTCAATATTCAGTCAACAACTTTTATCAAGAATGTCATGCACCTTCTAGATACTAATTTTCTCGGATATAGTAAGAGATCACCAAGACTTGTCAAGTAAAATAGAACAGCATCCTGAGGCTCCAAAACTTATTATAGATTAAATTATTCAATTTTTTATCTATTTGCTAAATCCATATTAAATATATTATCCATCTTATCTAGAAGCTAGGATAATTTTTAGTTTCTTTTTCTTGCGTATTAAATTCTTGTAACTAAGTTATAATCTAACTATAACATTTTTACCACAGGTAATTACAGATATTTCTAAATTATAGAACATTTAAAAATATAACTAAAATTAAATGGTAGTAAGTGAACAACTGCTTACATCTAATGCGAAAAGAGAGCTCAGTCTTTTAGATGTTTTGGTGTTACTTTATTCATTAGTAGCTAACTAGATAAAATATACAGATGTATTTAGTTTCTTTTTTTCTCATGGAAATGAATGTAAATATCTTTTTAAATTTAACTAATAGTTATTGGTAACTAGTTCTGAGAAAAGGATTAATTATATTAAAAACGAAATGCTAATTCAGTAAGTAAGGGGCTGAAAATAAAACCCTGTATATTTACGTGTTTACACAAACTTTTTTTGTGTTTTTAAACTTTACAAAGAATAGAGTATTAAATTAATATGCTATTAAAGACAAAATAATATAATTAAATTTTTTACAACCCATTTTTTATTTTTTACAGCCAATTTAAGTACACTCTGTATACATAATTCTATTTTCTGAATTTAAAACATCACTTATATACTTAGAAAACCACATTTAACAAAAATAATTTAAAAAAATGTAGTAGTAGGTCGAGAAATTATTTTTGCCACTTTTCGCGTTTTCGGCCGTTAAGGCTGACGCTCACTAGACGGAAGCGCGACGGAGCGCAAGGCAGCGCGGCGAAAAGGAATTTTTATAATACATAGTTTTAAATAAGAGGGCGCTGACTTGGCGGAAACGCAGCGGTCGGCAGCGAAACGATTTAAAACTATATAGTCTAGTGAGCGTCAGCCTTTATCAATGGTTGTCGAAATAACTGAGATTTTTCATATTAGTTATTTTTTGGAATTGGCGATCGATGCAGAGCGTCGACTTCATTTCACGAGCGCGAGCAGCCGATATCTACATGTCGTTATTTTATATCTGTTATTTTTTAGAAGTAGCAACGGTTGCGTTATGTTATTTCTAAATAACTGTTATAAAATAACAGAGAGTTAAATAACAACCCATCTCTACTTCCAATCCAATCCAATATTGATAAATGTGTAGTAATGATAGTTTGATCAGCTAAATTACTTAATTAAACCTAATTACCCAATTATACCACGTGTAATGGACCAAAAATTAAATAAAACTTGTCTCTCTCTTGTAGATTTACAGATATCAATACTGGGCTTCAGATTTTACTTCTCTATATTTATATTGTATTCTAAAAATATATTTTACCATTAATTTGCTGTCAGTTGATTTCCATACCGGTGGTGAACTTGATGTCGACACTGTATAATCTGGATGTGCATTTCGACTTAATGCATGCATTGGAATTCTATATATTCGGAGAGGTTTGACCTCTGGAGAAGCTAGAAAGTATTATTTATGATAAGGTATTTATAAAAGTTAAATGAAGCTAAAAATAAAATTTAAAATAATTTCAATTTCATATCTAGATAGAACTACAATAGCGCTTTGTATATAGAATCCTTCCACATTGATACTCTATGCAATTATTTTCTATATAGAGTGTCCCAAGCTGATCTTCCATTAGAAGTTTCTAGAGAACTACAATACCTAGATCAAAACTTTTTTGCACATTATTGTTTCACCAACGAGATCTATTAATTAAAAATATGTTCAGTATGGCAGCAACTCGGAAATACTGAAAGTTGACGGCAACTTTCTTATTTTAAATAGATAAATTTTATGAATTTTGATATCAAACACTCTATACCTAACAACTGCTTGTCAAAAAAAGACGGACAACCTAAATGTCAAATTTAGTGATTACCACAGTCACTGAAACATAAAGATAAAATATGAGTCGCCTAGTTTCAAAACACGACAAATCCACAAAAGTCAAATGTTGAGAAATTGGAAAAAACTGTTTTAGAGTTGTTAAAGAGTAAATATAAAGTCAATATTTTATTGCCAGGAAATGATAAGATTTGTCGCAGTTTGCAAAGTATATATGATGTTAGGTTGTAAAGAACTAGAAGACGAATCCATTAACATATATAACTCATTTTTCTCGAAAAATGGATTTGTCGGGTCTTGAAACTAGGCGACTCATATGTAGCTATATATTTCAAAAATTACATTGATCGAATGTCATATAATATTGGACGTAACCATGAAATTGAGCTGTTAAAAATTATCATAAATGATATTTTTATCATAAATATATTTTTAAAACAAATGGAAACCCACTTTTTTTATTTTACTAATGAAAATGTTTTTTAATTTGCTTCTTTTTGATTATCATGTTCCTATATTTAAATTAAATCATTTTTAAGTTTTTGAAGATTTAGTTTTGAAGCGTACATTTTCTTCATTTTAACTAGTAGGCCACGACTTTTAACGTCAAACAATGTAAAACAATAAATGACCATGTCAAATTGTGACACTTTGTTAAATAATCAATATGTCTTTGTTCGCCATTTTAAAGCCAAGGTTGTGTCACTTTAATTGTGCGTTTTTTTGCATTTTTTTCAATGTTTAGTCACGATATTTTGTTAGCAAACATCAGATTCAGATTCAGTGCACCAAAAAACATAAAGAACAAAATAAAATCAGAACTACTCCAAAACTTTCCCCAAAAATACAATTTGACTATACTAATTTATTTAATACGGATATTGTAGTAGCTAGTGAGCTATTATATGGATGCATTAGGTACAATAAAGTTTTGATGTATTTTATAAAGTGTTTGGCGTTTTTTTTTTTTTTAAAAATTGTTTAAATTTGGAATTTGGGTTGGAAATAGTGTTGCACAAGATAAGAATTCTTGTCTTGAAAATAAATTTCTTGTTTTGTCTTGAAATTCAAGACAAGAAATTTTCAGTCTTTTCTTGCAGATTTCTTGAATGGCAAAGTCTTGTCTTGTCTTGCAAGACTCTTGAAATTTCTTGTCTTGAAAAATTTTACATTCTAACAAAAAGGTAATAAATCGTATACAAAATGTAATACCGAAAAATGAACAACAACGATGCTAATTTTAGTAAAAAAAATCTTAACGGACCGCAAACGAACTACGCCAACTCGCCCGATTGACGAAACAGGGGCCATTACCAAATAAAAGCTGAATAAGAATAAGTAAGGTTAAGTTCGATTCATGGGTTTTGGGTTATTATTTCGTACCAAACCTTATGCGATCATTTTTTAGTTCTAGTTGTTTGGTTTCTATTTTGGTTACCCGTTTGTTACTTTTATTTTTTATGGTATTTATTTTATTTATTTATTATGGAAGATTGGTTGGAAAAGTTTGGACACAGGGTGTACGGAAAGGTCATGCTAGAGTGTACTATTTGCGCTATTTGATACTACTTTTTGTTCTCGGAGCAATTTCGTGCATGAAAATTAGTACCGAATAGCGCAAATAGCGTGCTCCACGAACCCACCATTAGTTTCAACTACCGTTAGTTTTTTTTATAATACCATTATACCAATATAATTTTGTGTATAAAACCAATTACCAATATACGGTTTGTTGCCTTGACTTTATTTTTCATTCTCAACTCTAAAACACTGGCTATGACAGAAAAAAAATGAATACTGGTCAATATTAATGCCGGGTTTATACAACATTTGCATAAATCGTAATCATAATCACAGTCTTAATCATCGTCATAATCACAACGCAATTTTAATGTGCGATTATAGAACATTTTCATAATCATAATTTTTATATCATTGAAGTTGGGTAACATAATTAAAGGCTAAGTTCATGGTAGATGTCAACAGGTTTATAAGAAGTGGATAGTTCAACTTTTAAGATTATGACTATGATTGTGATTACGACTATGTAAATGTTGTATAAACCCGGCAAAACTTGCGCCTTAAGACCTAACTATCACTTAAAAAGATGTATCATTTCTAACTTTTAAGAAATCTTGATTTCAAGAAATCTTGAAATTTCTTGCATATGTGAAAGTTTTGTCTTGTCTTGAAATTCAAGACAAGAAATTTTGAAAGTCTTGTCTTGAATTTTTTGCAAAAGACTTTTTCAAGACTCTTGTGCAACAATAGTTGGAAACAATAAGAGTATGAAAATAAAATAATAATATTATAAATATTACGCCAGTAATCCTCATTCATTCAGCTCTAGCTGTTCCAGATATTAAATGCCCGAATTGTTCGACTGTACGGCCTTTTTTGATATATGTATCTATTTATTTTTTGATACTTTTCCTACAAAAAAATTGATATACCTATTTATTATACAGGGTGTCCCAGAAATAAGTGCAAGTATTTTAAGAGATGGTAGATCTCGATAAAAGAAACATATTTTTTGTTTATTGTTTTTCAAATAAGTCCAAAATAACGGGGTTATTTTACTTTGTAAATTTCTAAAAAACATGATTTTTTGCTAAAATTTTGAGAACCACTGGATCTTTTCTGGATTTTCTTTCTTGTAAATTTAATCTAATACCTATGATGCCATGTTAGAAGATCCATAAAAGATAAGGAAGTTTCTGTCAACTTGTGTCGCCATATTGAAAATGCCTTTAATCCCCTCCCTCTGAAACAATGATGTGAAAAAATTACGGCTCTAGATATAGTAGTTCCCTAGAAACTTATCATGTTTCATGTAAGTCTAGAACACTTTGTATATTTTGATATAGACTATAGACATTATGCGTTAATAGTAAGAATTGGGAAGATATGCAACCTAATGGGCCAATTCGTGACAAGGCTGATTTGATTTCCCCTTACGTCTTAAGTGCTGCACGGGGTAGACACCAATCGTTCTGCAGTCAATGCATAAAACACTTAATGCTTGCCATGTATTACGCGCCGCGGCGCCATGTGGAAATTTCTTTTGTCTGCTTGCCATGTATTTAAACGGATCAACGCATATTAGAGCACGCAGCGCCGAAGCGCGCTGCGGAATTTCCGTCAAGAAGTCAGAAGACTTCTCTAGCAACTTTTTTCCGTCTCCAGCGTTTCGGCGCGTTGCAGTATGCGTACTCATAACGGAAATAATTTTGCATTCGAGTCTCTTCAGTTGGCTTTTTGACTAGGAACTAGTGATACGTATCAGTGGTAGAATTGTATTTTTAAAGGTAAATTAGTCAAACAGATTTTCATAAAGGAATATGATATTTTTTAGTCTTCCCTCACTAGAGACAGATGGACGAAATGCCTTTCTATCATATATTTAATATAATTGAGGAGTGTAGAAGCAAAAACGGCAATCTACACTTTTTGACAAAAGTGGCAATCTCCAATTTTTAAATTATAATTACCTAAACATATAAAAACATTAGGCTTTTTTCATCACATAACTACGCGTAATATGTAACGTAACGCTCATGCTGTTCTTTGTTTAATCATATAATACTATATTAAATTGTTTAATGATCCGTATTATTAACGTACTGTGCCAAAAATCCGTAAATCGACGGATTAATCAGTAGTTTTGGCAACACTGTCTCCAGCAGTCACTCACTCTGTCGACTGAAAGCAGAACTACGAACGTGGTCTGCTTTCAGTCGACAAATACTACTACAGTATACTATATCCGCTGCGCTGTAAACGAATAATCAGCGCGCAGCGGCGCAGAACTAAACTAAATGTCGGAATTCCCGGACAGGCTAAAACCTGTTTCATGTAGACACGATTCGCGAATTGCGGAAAGCGATTCGCCAAAAAGTATTCGTAAAATTTAGACCTATTTCATACAGTCGAGAATTTTTAGAGATATTTCATTTTTGCTCCACTGAAAGTTACCAAAAAAAATCATAACCTGAGATAACTTAATTTGTTTTTTTATTCGTGTTTACTATCTTTATTTTATATTTTATAGCAAACAATATGAGTTTAAATTTGTTTAATGATTATGAATATCGATTTCGATTGTCGGATTGGAACAGAAGGCGCAAAATTGCTATTTACTTATTACTAAAACTTAGAAGAGAACGGGTTTATAGGTCATTTGAGACATGTGAAATATTTAAATTTCGTAAGCAACAAGGTGCTTATCGCAATTTAATTCAAGAAATCAAAATAATCGATAACCGGATCACAACACCATTCTGCGCAAACGCGAACCTTAAAATCACGCGAATATCCGCAAAAAGTTGAAAACACTTTAACTTTCCCGCCCCCCAAATTTTAAATCTTCCGAATCGCCAAAATCTTAAAATTTCTGACAGCGCTGCCATGATCATTAAAATTGGACCAATGAGAGCAGTTTCGCAAAATTGCGATCCGTGATTCGCATCTACATGAACAAGGCTTAACGGTAAGGTTGCGCATCTTCTTATTTCTTCAATCAACGCATCATAAATATCAAGAGCTCTGGAATAGTTTTTATTATGCATCGTTTCCTAATATTGCTAAACCCGATCCATACTAATGGAGGATTTTTATTAAAATACCGTTTAATATTTTATTGCATAGAATTACCGTTAGGACTGGACGGTGGAGAAACTTTTTGAAGCTCTTGCTGTCGTGTGTCAACAAACAGCCTATCTGTCCTGTTGGGGAAGAATTCGGGAGCCGTTGTCGCGAAAAAGATGTCGTTTTTGCTGGTTATTAATTGCAGTTTAGGCATCGTCATTGTGTGGATCAAATTTCCATTAACCACCAGTCTAATCTCCATGGTATTCGATGTAAATGCTATGACGTATGGAAAAGCGCACACTAGAACAAATAGAATCGTCAATTGGGGGACCTTAAAAAACTTTGAATGCTATAAGTTAATTAATTAATGCTTAATTAAGTTTTTTATGAAATTCTCATTCCGGCAACTTCGGTAGCATATTATGCACATATGCACAGTAAAAAAGTTTGTATAAACTTATGTCCTAAAATGCACCGCTTCCGAGATACAGGGTGAAGAAGTTCCATTTTTATTTCGATTTTTTTCCTAATAATTTCTGAACTAAATTCGGTATTGGGATGAAAATTAGTATCTGGGGGTTGCAGAGAAATTTGATTTCGATGTCAATACGACTCCTACTTGTAGGGGTGCCACCTACACCTTTTTGAATGTTTTGAAGAGTAATAACTTTCGCTTCATCCCTGTATTACACTATTAAGTGAAAAAATATACATTTGTACCATTTTCGACGTCAAAAATCTTTTTCGTCCTTGATATTGAAAGGTTCAACTGAAACTGTTTTAAAACCTAACTGTAAGTTTTCTAAAAATTTTACGATTTTGGAAAAATCGTATTTAGATTAAAACAAGCATATTTTTTTAGAGAAAAAAAAAAGATAAAATAAATCCTTTCAAAATGCGCATAATATCTAAGCAAGTCAAAATAAATTTTGGGTGGTTTTTATTATCATTTTTAAAACTAAAAGTATTTTTCAGAATAATTTCAGTTATTTACTTATTACAAATAATATTACTACAATTGCTTACTTTGCTACAACAGCTTCTGTTGAACCTTTGGTATCAGAACGTTTCGAAAATTATAAATTTACTGAAATATCTATCTAGTGAATATGTTTAATTGTTGTTGTTGATGGCATGCCTTGATTAATAAGGTGCGTATACATATGGCGAGCACAACGCGAGCCGAGCACGAGCCGAGCGCGCTGTGTTGTGCTCGTTGTTCGCCGCGAGAACAGCGAGATCATAGTCCGAGCTAGCAACGATCCATATGAAATGTAAATGGCTCGCGAGCACATAAGAAATATTCTTTTTTCAGTGTCAGTGCAGTTTTTGACGCGACTTGGTTCAGATGTTCAGATAAATAAAGTTAAATATTTTAATCTAAATTATATGTTATTAAAAGTACAAACGAATATTATGTAAATAATATGTAATGTACCCTGTACCTACAGTCAGTACAAAAAGTCTCCGTACACCCCTTTTTTTTCAAGTAAATTTTATAGCCTTTTTTATGTTAAAAAAAAGCTGAAAAACTATTTTTTTGAGTGGTTTTAGATAAAAATGGTTGGTACCATTCAAAAGAGAGGCAACAATTATAAACCTCCTAAAAATTACACAAGGATTTAACAAAAAATAATCCAGATATAAGATTTTCAATTTGGCAAAAATAATCAATTTTTTGCAAAAATCTTAAAAATGTTATTATTTTTAGCAAATTTATAAGATTTAAAATTGTATATTTAGATTATTTTTTGTTCAATCGTTGTGTAATTTTCAAGAGGTATATAATTTCTGCCCCTTTTTCGAATAGTACCAACCATGTTTACCTAAATCCCCTCAAAAAATTTTCACCTTTTTTTATAAACATGAAAAAAAAAGAGGCTATAAAATTTTTTAAAAAAAATTGTAGACCCACGTCAACTGAGAAACGTATTGAAGATTTAAAATGTACCATTAGTTTTTTTTTATTTATGGTAAAAAAGGAGCTACAAGAAAAAAAAGGGGTGTACTCAGACTTTTTATACTATTTTTTTTTAATTGAGCTTGTGGCAGGCTCGGCTCGTGCTCGGCTTGCGTTGTGCTCGCCATATGTATACGCACCTTTAAAGGTGGGTATACACATGCGAGCCGAGCGGTTCGCAAACCGCTCGTTAGCAAATTGTTTTTGTACGAACCTTCAACGATCCAAGGGAAAAGCGCGAACGCCGCAAACCAACCGAAAACATGCAGTCGACGCGACGGTGTGAGTACGCGTTTAATTATATCTTTCCGAGAAGAGAATTATGCTCTGTTGGTGATAAATGGTGCATTTTTAATGGCTAGTTTAGATAAGAAAAGGAAGCAGCGACGTTGGTGGTAGGATGCTAATAAAGAAATCATTTTCTTCTTACATTGGCTGCATTTTTTTTCACTTCGACATCTAGTTCCCTCCAAGCGTCCTCCTTTAAATTCTTTTTATAATGTTCTTTATGTTTTTGATCCCATAATAAAGCTTTTTTTCTATAGAGATCAATTAAATGTAAAATGATTTCCTCGGACCACTCCATATTTAAATAAACCGCTATACCTATTCCAACCGGTAAACAAAAACTAAAAATTGAAAACAGTGCGTCTGGATTGTCCGGAGGTTCGATACAAACAACGAACAACACACGAGCCCGTCCACCGAGAGCCACGAATCCCTTTGTGTTTGTCAAAAAAACCGACAGGAGGCGGATCGCCGCGAACGGTTTGCGAGCCGTTCGTTCTCAAAACAACGTACACATTTGCGAATAATAGGTTCAGAAGCGGTTCGCGAACCGCTCGGCTCGCATTTGTACACCCCCCTTAAGAATCCAAATATCTTGAGAACTGCGAGCACTAGTTGCTCGCAACGACTTTTACCAAGAAATTTTTTAAAGTAAAATAAGGCGTAAATGTATATTTTATTCACTCACATTTAAAAAACATGTAAAAAGGATTTTTTTACATGTTTTTAACACGAGATACCAATTTTCATTCAAATATTGACATTAGTTTAAAAATTAATTCGAAAAAATCGAAATAAAAATGAAACTTCCACACCCTGATTCTATGAAACGAAGCATTTTAGGACATAAGTTTATATAAACTTTTTTACTTATTATTATGTGTAGAATATGCTGTCGAAGTTTCCGGAATACAGTTCGGACCGCCCTGTATATCGAGAGGTCTTTGAAATATATCCATTTTTAAACTAAATTTTTGACATACTTAAAACTCTTTTAAATTATTATTATCAAAATTATGGTCTCAAGATCCTTGTCCCAAAACCATTAATATCAAAAAAAAATAATGTACTTAATATTTGTTGCACCTAGCATATCTTCTAAATATGTATCTATGAAATAAATATCTTTAACCACATAATAATTCTTTATGATTACCTGGATTAAGGTTTTATTAAAGGCTTACTAAATTTCTAGGAGTTATGCATAAAATTTACACAGTATAATTTATCAGTCACACTGCAGACAACCTTTAACCCAATGAAGGTTTAATTTATTCATTGTTCTGTCCCTGACTGTCTAAAATTGAACACTAATTTACTTGGGGTTAACGATTTTATAACATTTAAAACAGAAATTTTCATCTGCAGTCGTTTGAATAGTCACTTTGATGCTGTTTCTTTTTGATTATACGGAATACATACGATTTTGACTTTGATTTTTTAGACGGATGGTGTACCTTTTGGGAAGTAGTTTTAGGGAAAAATTGTAACTAGTGATGGGCAAAACTGTTATTTTAAGATAACAGTTGAAACTGTTATAGTTATTTATAAAAAACAGCTTAAAATAACAGCTTAAAAATAACAGGTTTCTTTATTTTACTGCTAAATATCTGAAAGAGTATGAGACGGTCACTGCCAGGCGTATTGCAAGTTGCAACAATGACGTGCTCGGTGGTAGAATTTCCAGGGTGTCAAAACATTTCTAAATATCGATTGTTATCTAAAATACTTCTCTAAAAACGTTCGTTGTTTACAAATAAGCGCTGTTTACAAATTGCGATATAAAAAAAGCCAAAATTCCGCCACTCGTCTATACCTACACATTGCGATCTACCTACGCCCTGCCCCTCGATCCGCGTAGATCCTGAATTGCGTAGCAGTGTACAGGGTGCATATCACTCGACGGGCGAGAAGCTCTTAGTTATGATTTTACCATTTGCGGTAAAAAAATAGCAATATAAGAAAATGTGTAGTATATTCTTCATAAGTAAACCAACTACACACTAGAGTTCGAATTAATTTTACACTTAAACTAGCGTGTACCCGCGACTTTGTTCGCGTCGAATAATTAATTTCAAATGGTGATGATAAAGCAAAACAAGAATTTCCATTAACATACAAACTGGATAAAATTTTCTCACATTTGCCAAAAATAAGCTTTCTAACGTCGAGCAGTTTAAGCAGAATCGTGGTTAATCAATTACTCAACTTTTTGGAACACCCTGTATGATTTTTTAAAAAAATTCAAAATGTGTAAAAAAAAACAAAATAAATTATGCGTGTCCAGGCGTTTTCCCGAAAGACTAACCGTTTTTTAAATAACAAATATTGTAATATCTGAGGGGCGTTTTCACCCTGTTGGAATTTGAGATTCGAGAAACCCCTCCTTATCGAACCTCAACCCCACAGTCAATCCGTTTGCAAAAAATCAGCTTTAAACGCCCAGCAGTTTAAGCAGAATATTACTCAGTGGTCATATTTTATGAAACACCCTGTATATATTTTTAAAAAATCTTAAAATATGTAAAACAACATAATAAAATATACGTGTTTTAAGAGTTTTTCCGAAAAACTCACCGGTTTTTAAATAAAAAATATTCTAATATTTGAGAGTAGTTTCACCCCCTTAGAATTCGAGTTTCGAAAAATCCCTTCTTATCGAACCTCTACACACTAAAGTCAATCCGTTTTCCAAAAATCAGCTTTTTACGTCAAGGGCTTTAAGCAGGATCGTGATTAATCAATGACCAGATTTTTCAAAACACCCTCTATACATTTTTAAAAAATCTTAAAATATTCTGAAAATTTTTCAGAATAAATAAATACCTAAATATTGAAACTTAATAAGTAAGTACTGAAACATACAGCGCCATAATATCTCGACCTCCGTCCGTTATGCTCGTAACAGGTTGAAACAGAATGTATCTAAAACAACTGATGGCGTTATTCCCCAACCTGTTTCGAACCTCCATCGACAATCGACCGATGCAGCAGCGTTCATTTCCCACACCGATTATCTCGACCACCGCCCTGTTATGCTCGTAACAGGTTGAAAAACAACAAATCTAAAATGACTGCTTCTCCAACCCGTTGCGAGCCTCCATCGACAATCGACCGATGCAGCAGCGTTTCTTTCCCACACCTGTTATCTCCACCGCCCAGGCGTTATGCCCGCAACTGTTTCAAAAAAACTGCTTCTTTTATATCCTATTATTTTCAAGCTGTTGTAAATACGACCATCGACGGTATCGACCGAAGCAGCTACGTTCGCCGCAGCGCTTTCCCCACTCCGTTGTCCGTTGTCTCGCCGCCTGTATCGATGGTTGACGAAATAACATGTTTTCCATCCATACTAGTTGTTTTTTGGAATTGCTTCGAGCAGCATAGAATTTCGTGGTGATGCAGAGCGCCGACTTCGTTTTTCGTTTCACGAGCGGCCGATCTCTACGTGTCGTTATTTTATATCTGTTATTTTTTAGAAGTAGTAACGGTTGCGTTATGTTATTTATAAATAATTGTTATAAAATAACAGATAGTTAAATAACAACCCATCACTAATTGTAACACCGTGCTCGGCCAGCTTTGGTCGAAAAAATGGCCCAAAATAGCCAAAATCGGTTTTTCGCATATATCTGCCAAAATATGCAATTTACAAAATTTTTCTTTGAATAGAAATTGAAGCTTAGGTAATTAGAAAGGAAAAAAGAAAATATAATTACCTATAAAAATGGTCATTATCTACATAGATTTAGTAGTTTTCGAGATATTCTGCCTAGAAGATGCCTGAATTTTTTCCAAGTTTTAACAGAATACATATGAATAAGTTTGTAAAAATGAAATGAAAATTTTTGGGCCAATGAATGGTTTGCCCGATGTTTTTATTATCATAAATCATAAAATATGATCAAATTCAAACAAGTTCCAAAATGTGATAGCTGTTGATTCTACATTTTAAATAAACTTTGAAACATTTAAAATATTAAATTTTAGCAGAGTTATTTAACAATTTATCCTATCAATCAATGATACATGATACGCTTATGACATCTATCTTCGGAGCGTTAAGACTTGGAGAGAAAATTTAGGTATCTACAAGTACCCCAGTCAAATTAGTTCAAAAAAAGGCACATCCGTGGAAACACACTTTTTTGTTTATATCTCGGAAACTATGACATCTACCGAAAAATACTGTATGTGCATAAATAAAGCTGACAAAATTCTCTATAAAAATGATTCTATACATTTTTGTTCCCGGACTACCTTGATTTTCATGCATCCGTTGTCCGACGATACGTTGATACGATATTAATTTCATTGGTTGTATTTAAAGGCTTCGATTGGTTAACCGTTTCTAATCAATCAAAGTCTTTAACTTCACCCAATAAAATTAATATCGTATCATCGTATCGTCGGACAACGGATGCATGAAAATCAAGCTTTATGGTTTCCGAACTTCGCCCTTCATAAATTTGGATACTAAATCAAATGGCATATTCCAAGTCCGTACAAACACATTTCTTTTCGTTGCATGTTTTTGGTTCAAATAGTGTTGAAGAGGTACGATATCATGATTTTTTACGTATTAAGTATAACTTTTAGTATATACTGTGATTTTATAAATTTTAAACGTGATGCGTTCACATAAACCACTCCTTGAATGCGAAAGTTATTTATTAATATAAATCATGTTTTCTGTTCATTTACTTTACTTTTTTTGCTTTATATTTTTGGGTACTTAAAAGAATCAAAACCGACATTATGTACATAATATATTAAAGAAACAAAATAAATAATAATACATTTATAAAAAATAGTGAATTATTACGCCTCTGAATTAATTTTTGTGTCGGAAATACTAAATGCCTTCATAAAATTCTTCAATTCAAAAATCTTATAATGAAAATTAAAGCACCTGATCTCAGGCATCTAGATATTTTGTAATTTAAATGTCATAATATATTATACGATATTGTAAAAAATTAAAAAAGAATTTGAAGGACTTACTCAATTAGAAAAGTAAGCGACACGTGCATAATTATATATAGTATATTAAAATCACTTTTTGTTAAATACAAATTGCTTGTCTAACATGGATAATATCTGATCTGAATAAAAACTGATTTTTCGGCTATTTGGGGTCATTTTTTCGGCGAAAGCGCGGCTTCGTAGCCTAGCACGGTGTATAAATTCTTTCTACTAAAACTACTCCCTAAAAGGTACACAATCCACCTGAAAAGTCCCGGTCGACGAATTAAACCGTGGGTTCGACCTTTATTTACTGGACTATACCATTTATATTAAAACCAAACTATGTGACATGTGCTTCGCTCATACGAGCATCATTTTTTAATTGAATTTCTGTCTGATAATATTTGTGTGAGCGAAACACGTGTCACATAATTTATATTTAGTATTAATACACACAGATGCAAAAAACGCACTGGAGACATTTTTGGCCAAATTTAAAGTGTTATATTTTTGTGATTTTTAGCCCTATTTTCATGAATTTTTTAGCAAACTGTGTATAATTATATCAACTTTAATGTTTTTTATAAACTTTAGTATTTGGCATATTATACAGGGTTGATCGAGGGGTTGTTTTTTACCCTAACTTTAAAACACTCTATGCAATAATTTCGTGTGTAAATTTTCCGAAAATATAATTTTACTGTCAGAACCATGACACCTGAGCACTTTGTTTTTTGATTCATGTCAATACATCCTTTGGATATTTTTTAAGAATGAAATGAACGATCAATTTGCAATTTTTTCAATTTTATCATTACTTTTTGATGTAATTTTTTAATACGATGAGATGGTTTTGGTGACAATTGCCGTAATGTTATATTAGGCTGCATTGGATTCTTTATACTAAATAAAAAAAGAAACGTTAAAGACTAACGATACAGTCCGGGTTTTAATAAACATTAATAATGATAACAGAATTCGATATTAAAGAAAACATCTGTAATACTCAAGTATACAAATAGAAAAAAAATGTAAAAAATACCCTAATACTTTGTATTGCCTCCCTTGGCTGTTACAACTGCTTTTATATGTCCGTTCATATTGTCATTGAGGCTGCCTATATCATATTGCTTTATATTTTTCTATTCTTCTTTAAGTACCAAGCTAAGTTCATTTAATGAAGGTGGCAACGCTTTGTAACCTCTAACCCTCCTGCCAAGCATTTCCCAAACGTCGAACATGATGGGCAGTTTATAGTAGTACATAGTTCACAACAGTCACCAAAGCCGCCTTGTCATATTGAAAAATAACTTAAAAAAATGATAATTGAAAAAATTGTAAATTGTTGGTGGAAAGATTATTTCGCTCTTAAAAATTAACCAAGGCATGTATTGACATGATCCAAAAAACTGAATGCTCAGGAGATATGGTTCTGACCGTAAAATTATATTTATGACAATTTACATGCGAAATTATTGCACAGGGTGTTTTAAAGTTTGAGTAAAAAAACAACCCCTCGATTAACCCTGTATAATATGCCAAATACGAAAGTTTATAAAAACTGAGTTTACGAAATAAAGTTGACATAATTATATACAGTTTGCTAAAAAGTTCATTAAAATATGGCTAAAAATAAGAAAAATATAACACAATTAACACAATAAGAAAAATATAACACTTAAATTTGACCAAAAATTTCTCCGTTGCGTTTTTTTTTTGTATCTGAGTATACATATATGCGACCGAGAACTTGGATCTTTATTCTTCTTTTTTAATTTACAAATCAGACCTTGTTGAGAAAAATGGACGCCTTCTTTAAATGAATATAAAAGTCTTCAGAAAAAAATATTCAATATGTCTTCAAAAACCATATACTCTACCTATATCTGTAGGTGCAGAATTCCAATGAAAATCGAAACTTGATCCTGAAGAATTATTGCTATCGTTCAATTTTTGAAAATGACATGTATCTGAAATAAAAAAAATAAGAACTATAATATAGCGTAGAGAATTATAAATCCCAGACTATTAAAAATAGGTATATGCTATATAAAATTATTTTCGTATTTTAGCCATGTTTCGTGGCTAATCTTACTGTAGGTTGCCCAATAATTTCATTCTTCTTTAAAATTATTTTATATAATTTTGTCTGAACAAGTGGGAGTAAAAAGTTCGAGCAATTTGATAACGCCTATAAAAAATAGTCACGGAAATAGTATTAATGTACGGTTTAATGAAAGCTTTAGAGAATTATAAATCTATTGTAAGCTGATTGATAAAAATTTAATAATAAATCTAACTTTACGATTTCAGTTGTACCTTATTAATATTCATCGCAGGAGCGTGTTTACTACGAACTTTTTGCTTAAAATTTATTTATGTTTTGTGTATTAATAGATATAGCCAAACTTTAATAAACACATTTAAAATCCATGATACACTCAGATCCACAGTGTATCAAAGGACAGAAACACAAAACAACAAATCATATTTCGAACATTTTCATGCGTTATGTTTGTTTTGCAAACTTTACTTTTTGTTATTTTCAGTTTTCCATTATTTTTGAAAGCTGAAAATTTTCCAAAATAGCAGTTATATAGCAAGAAATATTTTTATTTAAATATTACAGCTTCTTACGGCGCCGTCTCCTTTCGAAGGTTGGCGATCCAAATAGCTAACGTCATTCTAGATACAGCCATACGAAATATGTCGATTGATGAGCAACCAAACCATCTACGAATGTCATTTAGCCAGGAATTCTGGCGTCTGCCGATAGATCTTTTGCCCTGGACTTTGCCTTCAATTATTAATCTGAGAAGTTCATACTTTTTACCCCTCATTATGTGGCCTATGTAGCGTGTTTTTCTTTCTTTGATGGTAAGCATGAGTTCTTTCTGTTTTCTCATTCGATTAAGAACCTCCACATTTGAAACTCTTTGGACCCATGATATTCTTAATATACGGCGGTAAATATACATTTCGAAGGCATCTAGTTTTTTTCTAACGATATGTCAAGAGTCCAACTCTCACACCCGTACAGGAAACTGAAAAAATGTAGCATCTGACCATGCGTACCCGTAGCTCCAAACTCAAATCTGACCTTGTGAAAAATTGTCTCATATTTATAAATGTTTTTCTAGCTTGTTCTATGCGGCTTCTAATTTCTTTCTTCGGGTCGCATTGATCATTTACAATACACCCCAAATACTTGTATGAAGACACTTGCTCTACTGGGTCACCGTTGATATCCAGGTGAATCTGCACAGGTGTTTTGATGAATGCAAGAACCTTCGTTTTTGTGGTATTTATGAGGACACCGCAGTTTTCACTATGCCGAACTAATTCATTCATTAGCCTCTGCAAATCTTGTTCATTCTCGGCCAGCACAACTGTATCGTCGGCATACCTGATATTATTGATCACTTTCCCGTTAATCTTAATTCCACATTCGATTCCTTCTAGAGCTTCTTTGAAGATAGCCTCTGAATATATATTAAATAAGAGCGGTGACAGCACACAGCCCTGTCTTACACCTCGTTTAATCGTGATTTCTTCTGACGATGTTCCTTCAATTTTAACCACTGCGTTTTGCTGCCAGTAGAGATTTGTAATCAATCGAATTTCTTCTCTATCTATTCCGGTTGTTTTGAGGACTCCTATAAGTTTTTGATGGTTAACGCAGTCAAAGGCTTTTCTATAATCTATAAAACAAGCGATTACATTGACATTCATGTCTCTGCAACGCTGAATGATAACGTTTAATCCGAATAACGCCTCACGAGTACCTAGGCCACTGCGAAATCCAAATTGAGTTTCGTCTAGTTGGTATTCGCATCTTTTATAAATATTACATACTGATACTGTAAGAACCCTTCACTTTTTATTTTATATTTATTGACCCGCTAGAAAATGATTCTTCCATCTGTGTATTGGCGCTATTAGATCTTTATCTAATAACTCACCGACATTAAACTAAGTAGCCAGTTGATATAGTAATTTGTTTTTTAAATTTTACAAAACAGCAATTATATGGCAAGAAATATTTTTATAAGAATAGCTTTCGGCTGTATCTCGGAAAGTATTAGTCGTAGTGCTTGCGGAAAAAATATTTATAACTAAAGAGAGCATGAGAAATTGCTGGAAATTATTTTCAAGTTTGTAGAGCGGCCGCTAGAGGGCGCAACTGCTATTAAAAATATGAAAAAGGAGTTTTTACACAATTTTGCCTAGATAACGGACACTATAAATAATAGATTCATAATCCTCAGTAATTTTTGCATGTTTTTTGTTAGAACCATTTTCCCCTATCTGTTAAAATAAAGTGGTGGGGGAAGGTTAGATCTATTTTATTTCAATGTTAATAACTCCGGACTGGTTGATCGGAATTCAACATGTGAGGACTCGTTTAATAGAGCGTTTCTTACTCTATATTATGTCATATAAATAATAAAAATAAGCTTTTGAACGTAGACGCTAGGGGTCGCTGTCTTACAATTTAACAAACATTACGCGTTTTTTCGAAAAGGTTAAATGCGATAGTATATGTAATTTTAGCTGATACCAAAGAGTAATAAAAGGTTAAAAATTCAGCAAAAACTGCATCTTCATATTTTTTTTTCAAACCAAAGTTATTAGCAGAATTATAATAAATACGAAAAAATAAGCCCTTAATTACCTTATATTTCTAACACGGTATCCCTAGCCCTCTTGATTATGACCATTCTAATAAAAAATAAGATAGAAAAGATTATTTCATTCAAAAAATCGACAGTGTACCAGAATACCATAATACTAGGTGTATTGATATCTAATAATTAAGATATCAATGAGAGTGACTAAGAAATGACGCCTCAGTGAATTCCTGGTAGGCTTTGGAAAAAAGTTGCTTTTAAAGAGATAGTTTAAACTTAAAATATTATTATATCAACAATTTGATAGTCTCAGCAGCATTTTTTACCTTTTGATTGTTCTTCTAAAAATGCCTTTCTTCAAAAGAGAAAAAATGCTGCTAAGACTATCAAAATGTTGATTTAATAACTCTTTGACGATTATATTATATTACGTCAAAAGCATCTTTTTTCCAAAGCTTACCATGACTTCACTGAGGCGTCGTTTCTTATTCACTGTCATTGATATCTTAATATTACACATTAATACATCTGGGTATTATCGTATTCTGGTATATTGTCGATTTTAGAATAAACTAATCGTTTCTATCTTATTTTTTATTAGAATGGTCATAATCAAGAGGGCTACTGTAACCGTGTTAAAAAAATAAGGTAATTAAGGGCTTATTTTTTCATATTTATTGTAATTTTGCTAATATCTTCGGTTTGAAAGAGAATATCAAGATACGTTTTTCGCTGACTTTTTAAACTTTTATTACTCTTTACTATCAGCTAAAATTATACATACTATTGCATTTATTTTTTTTTGAAAAAAACGCGCAATATTTGTTAAATTGTAAGACAGCGCCCCCTAGCATCTACATTCAACTGCTTATTATTATTGTTTATACGCTTAATATAGAGTAAGAAACGCTCTTTTAATGCGCTTGTTAGATTCCGTTCATCCAGTCCGAAGATATTAATGTTTAAATAAAAACAGATCTAACCTTCCCTACCACTTTATTTTGGCAGATAGGGGAAAATGGTTCTAACAGAAAATATGCAAAATTTACTGAAGATTATGAATCTATTATTTATAGTATCTGTTATCTAGGCAAAATTGTGTAAAAACTCCTTTTTCTTATTTTTAATAGCAGTTGCACCCTCTAGCGGCCGCTCTACAAACTTGAAAATAATTTCCAGCAATTTCTCATGTTCTCTTTAGTTATAAATATTTTTTTTCACAAGCTCTACGACTAATATTTTCCGAGATAGAGCCGAGAGCTATTCTTAGTGGACACCCTGTACAATAGATTTAACTGCTGTTATTTTGGTTCAATTAGGAATTTTAAATTGACATGAAAATTTCTACATTTTGAGACAAAAATGTTTTCACTTCAGAAATATTAGGGATAATTAATCAGTTTGAGACACATTATAGGTTAAAAGGGTTAGAAAATATAATACTGAAATTTATATAGAAATACTTACGATTATAACAAAGCATTAACTGAATCTCTTGGTCCTCATATAAATCAAGTGCAGTCACTAAATGAGCTTTGGAACCCTCTACGGTATGCAGATGCTGAGCTTGACCTGATCGACCGTTCACTATGTCCCAGTGATTTTTGTATCCAATACAAACTAGCATGTCTCCTTGGGAAGGAGATATTGGACTCCAGCCGTTATCCAGTATGGTTAAAATCGTTGGTGTTTCGGTTAAATTCAGTTCCTAGAATAGAATGAATTAATTTTTATTTCGGAGAGTGTAGGGATAATATACCCAAAAGAAAGTGAATCCTTCTATCGTATCTGTATCACTAGCAGGGCACCATTGCGTCCACGCAGCGGAGTGTTTCCACTGGAACATGAGCAATCTTTTACCAATAGCAACGCACATTCTTAGCTTTGCTCCACCTGTAACATAACATTAAAATTAAAAATATAAATATTTATTTAGAAATATCTAAATTAGGAAAATAGAGATGAACCATCTTAGCTCTATACTTCATTTCTTCTATACTGCGTAAATAATTATCATAAAAATACAATACGATCGAAAACAAAGGTCGTCGAATGACAATGGATGATAATTTTGTCGAGGTCAAACTCTAGACGTCATTTACTTTGGCCATACTCTTCTTGGTTTTCTAATGGCGCTTACTGCCGGTTGGCATTAAAGTTATGGCCCTTTACTGCCAACTGTGTCATTGGCTGTAGTTATGGCCCTTTACTTTCCTTAAGTGCTGTTAAGAAGGTTAGTTTTGTTGATGTAAATAATAAAAGTTTATATATTTATAATAAACAAGACTAGGACAACTGCTTTACATCCGCAGTCTGATGGGATGGTCGAAAGATTCAATAAGACCATTGAAGAACACCTCTCGAAAATGGTGGACGAACATTAAAGAGATTGGGATTAGCACATACCGCTATTACTAATGGCGTATAGAAGTGCAGTTCACAACACCACCGGACTTTCACCATCGAAGATTTTATTTGGTCGAGAATTACGGTTGCCTTGTGACTTGGTGTTCGGATCACCAGACAACGGCACCACGAACGTAGAGGACTACGCGGATGAACTGAAGGAAAAGTTATTGGAAATTCATAAGGCCGTTAGAAGGAAGATTGCGCTAGCCAGTGACCGGATGAAAGCTCGTTACGACCTCATAGCTAATTCTACGGGATTTGAACAGGACGATATGGTATGGTTATATAACCCGCAGCGCAAGATAGGAAGATCTCCAAAGTTAACTCCAGCATGGGAAGGTCCTTATACAGTCATCAAGGGGATAAATGATATTGTGTACTGGGATTCAACGCAGCCCTAGAAGTAAGATGAAAGTAGTACATCTGGATCGATTGAGGAGATACCAGACTGGAAATCTTGATCGGAACGATCAAATTTGAGAAGGGGGCAATGTCAAGGTGTATGTGGCGTCATCTGTCGGAGAAGCGAGCAACTAAATCGCAACGTGTCGAGAAACCTGGCGAATTCACCAGAAAGTAAAAGAAGCATTACAGAATTCTATAGAAGGTACCAGAAACAGTTGGTATGGGTATATAAAAGCCCAAGCTCGGCAGTTGGACAGTTTGAAGTTTGATAATACCGCGTTTTAAATTGTGAATTAATTGGCGAAGGTGCCAGAAAAGTTAGAGTAATAGTAGTTGCATAAATTGTGTATTATAATCAGTATAAATTGTGTGTACAGAGTGAAAAAAAAAAATAAATTCGTTAAGTATTTGATCGTAAGTTTAAATTAGTAGACCCACGGAATCCGTAACAATATTATTGATGTCACTAAATAAACCCTTGTATAAAATTTTATACTTCTAGGTGTTATAGTAATGCATTTTCGTACAGCAAACTTTCATTCCCTATTCGACTCCCTAAGGGTATGAATTTCATAAATTCGCTTTGTCCAAATAATTAACTCATGTCTTTTAAATGATCCTTTGTGCAAATTTTTATGTGTATAATCTAGAGGTCACGAAGGTTTATATACATTTTTACTAACTTTACCCATTTGGTTGATGAATTTCAAAAATCTCTTCTAATTCTTTCTGTAGAATTTCATTCTTAAATTAAGGAATTTTTATACAACAAATTGTTCGACATAATTTTACACTGCAAGAGGACGAATTTCCTAAAATCGCTTTACGTACCTAATTCACTAATCACTAATATCATTTAAACGAACCGCTAATATTACTACGTATCTAAAGCTGGCGGTATAAACTGACCCCTAACCATAGATAAGATACTATATCCCCTAACATATCTAAAAATTTGATATATAATCTAAGTGACACATCACTGACAATGACAAATAATTTATTTCTGGAGGTATTGTGTGTAGGTCTTTTTCAGGTATGTTTTAATATTTATTCGTTTTTCATAAAGAAATAGCGATTTAACGATATAAAAATACTTCATAACAATTCTAGACATATATACCTTTCATTTAAAAAAAGAATCATCAAGATTGGTGAAGCGGTTTCGGAGGGATGGATGCAACAAAAAAAACCTTTGAGCTTTTATATATGTATGGATGGATATAGATGGATTTATTTTTCTTTCCTAAATATTTTTATTAAAAAGTGCCGGTTAAGCTTAATCACGTGACATAAATTTGATTTGATATGAACTATAGGTAGGTAATATTCAAGTAACGGGAATAGAAACAATTACATTTTGTTTTTTTACGGCGAATTACTGCATATTTAAAAAATCAATCGTAGTGTCAAAAACTGACATAAGATAGTTTGTCAATTTCTGACATTTCCAATTACAAAAATTAGTATTTTAGATTTAAATCAAGAGTGGCTATATCAAAACCACTAATTTTTAATCAAGGAGCATTGGAAGAATATATTTGTTCGTCTAATGTTTTTTCGTGGCACAAAAACTGTCCGAGATGTAGCTGGCGTTACTGTCAGCCTGTCCGAGAATTCCGAGATTTAGTTTAGCTCTGCGCCGCTGTGCGCTGATCGTTTACAGCGCAGGAGATAAAGAATACTGTACCGTAGTTCTGCTTTTAATCGACAGAGTGAGTGGTTGCCGGATACAGTGTTGCCAGAACTACTAATTATAGTTAATAATACGGATTTCCGGTCATTAGGTACACATTTTAATATGGCAACACTGTCGCTTTCAGGTCCACACCGTCTTTGATATGCCCTCGCGGCCGAATTATAGAAAATAAGTGTTTTATGCGTTGACCGCAGAATGAGTGTAGGTTCCACCGTACAGCACTTGAGACGTAAGGGGAAATCAAACCAGCCTTGTCACAAATTTGTCCATTAGGTTGCGTATCTTTCAAATTCTTTCAATCAACGCTGCTACCTTCAAACAAATGACAGGGCATTTGATATAAATGTGTCTTTTCAAGTGATAAATTATTAAATTTGAAATTTAAATCTGATATCTAGTATGTAACGAATATCTGGAAGACTTTATCTGGATACCTGCCAGACATAATATATCTTTATTTCTTAACAATGTATTACGACTGATATATATGTATCTCTCATATCGTTCCCATCGTAATACTATGCGCATATGAATTAAGTTCAACGAGTCGCAAAAGTTATACTCCACACCGTCGATCTCGATAATAAGGCTTTCAGAACAAAGTACCTATTGTTAAGGGTAGCGAAATGGGGCAACAAGAGGATATGAAACCGTTATAAGTTAGTCCTGATTCGGCTTTAGTTCTGTGCGAGAATGTAAAAGTTTCATCAAAGCTTGATATTTTGCTTTCATCTTGCATATTGTTTTATTATGGGATGGGATAGTTCTGTAATTAGCTCATATTCACGATATACGGCTTGATCTAAATAATTATTAGTATTTTAATAAAACACGCTTTTAGATGTATCAAATTTAATGAGAGTAATTTTAAATCTACATGTTTCGGCTTGTTAAGCCTTTTTCAAGAGTTTTTTTAAGTTTTAAGTAATAGCATAGTTTTAAACGCAGTAAAATACCCCAAGAATGGAAAATGTCTCATTTAATATTCATATTCATAATATTATGTTTCTGTTTAAGTACAAAATACTTACTGAACATTAATTTGGATTTCTAAGCAATACGTCCACAAATGATGCAATTTTTTTTCTCTTTAATAAAGTTTACTCCAGCCTAAATAACCATCATTCTACAGCAACAATGTTCTGTGACTTTTCTAAGGCGTTCGACTGTGTAAATCAGAAGATCCTAATTAATACACTGCAGCACTATGGATTCAGGGGAACATCTCTCGAATGGTTTAAGTTATATCTGAGCAACAGAAGTCAACTTGTGAGGGTGGATACCACGTTGTCTTCTAGCAAGCCAATAGAATGTGGAGTACCACAAGACTTTATTAACAACATTGCTAACATAAACAATCAGTGGTAAAATATGTCTTTTTGCAGACGACACTAGGTTCACTTGGAGCAACAAGGACGTCACGGCACTTCATAGGATTATATCAAATGACTTAATCACCTTTAAATCTTGGTGCGATTCGAACCTCCTGAGTCTCAACATTTCTAAAACTAAAGCTTTGTCGTATAAAAACTCGCTGCAGCCTTTTGTACTTAACAACACCACCATTAACGTCGTAAAATCTGTAAAATTCTTAGGGCTTGTTGTAGACAATTCTCTGAAATGGGACATGCATATCGACGTTTTGTCGAAAAAATAAAGCTCTGCCTGTTTTGCATTAAGATCTGTTTCTAAGAAGCTTAACTTGTCAGTGGCTAGAACTGTTTATTATGCACTTTTTAAGTCGCACCTCATATATGCCCTTCCATTCTGGTGTTGTGTGACTCAATTTTACTGCATTTTCAAGCTCCAGAAGAGAGCTGTTCGATATTCACTGGAATTAAACAGCAAAACTCATTGCCAGGACTTTTTAAAAAAATTAAAAATATTAGCTCTTCCTTCCTTATTTATATTTGAATCCGTCTGCCTAATACGTAAGCATATATCAGCTTCTCAAGAAAGGCCATCTCACACTTATTCACTCAGGAATGCGGAGCAAGATCTTTATCTACCTACCCCACGCTCAGAGTTACTTAAAAGTTCAATTTTATACAACTCGAAAAAAATGCACAATCACCTGCCATTTGAAATCAAATCCATAACATCATTTTCTTCGTTTCGCAAAGCATTGAAATCTTATTTACTAGACAAGGCTTTCTACGCCGTAAATGACTTATATTTTGATAATCGAATTTGATCTTGTCAACACTGGCCTAATATTTGCTATTACCATATTTACTATAAACATAGTAAATATTTTTGAAACTTATTTATATTTTTTTATTCTTTGACATTGTAAACATTTACAAATGTTTATTTTAAACAATAAGACTGACAATGTAATTTGTATACTTGTTTTGAATTCTCTTTTGTTTGTTTACTT